TGTGTGTGGCTGTACATACACATATGTAGTTGTTTTTTGGTGTTTGGCTTAGTGTTATGTTAGAATCATTATTATACTCATACCTTTTGTTCTTTTAATATTTTTGAATTGTTTTTAGCTTTATATTTTTGTTTCATTTAAATGTTTTAGTTTTGAAATGCTGTTGTATGCATTTGTCATTTTTATTTTCTTTTATTTTCTTAAATGTGTGTATATATATATAGTATTTATAGAGTTTTAGCTTGTAGTTTTAATTACTTTTTCTTATTTGTAAGTCACTTTGGATAAAAGCGTCTGCTAAATGACTAAAAGTAAAGTAAAAGTAAATGCAATTAAAATAATAAAATACCATTAAATATGAAGTGTCTGTATAATTTGTGTGTGCGTTTTTTTAATAATAATTATTAATTTGCAGGGGTTGTTTATTTGTTATATGGAGAGCTTCTCTAAACAGGCCAATAATAGACTATTAACTACTACTCATCATTTTAATAACACAAATGACAGGTTAGAAACTATTTGTTTCGCCTTTGATCTGATTTGTCCCGGGCGGGCTTCCGTTGGGCAGCAGGGCCTCCACGTCATCTCGAAGCTGATTGGCTGTGTTGTGGCTGCGGAAGTGAGGCAGTGTTGTTTGTGTGTCGCGAGGTAGCTTGAGTGGAGCTCGACGGGATAAACATGCGCTAATTATTATATTCTCTTATAATACTATCATAAGACTTCCTAAAGGCGTTTTAACATGGAGGCGGATGATGGCGCGCGTGTCCGCAGTGAAGATGTTCCTCCCCAGAACCAGGATCTGAGTTTTCTGCTGTCTTCTGGTGTGTAAACATGAGTCAGAGCTTGTTTCATCCGGAGTGTCGTCTGTGTGAGTGACTGATGTCTGTCAGTGACTGACTGACTGCGGCTTATAATGGCACACTAGACACACTGATTTAACATTTTAGAGCGCAGTAATGCGGATCTTATCAGGAACTGACTAGAATATATAGGCCAGTACGATTAGTTACATTTGAAGTCAATAAGATACATTCTCATATCTTTAACAAGCCATTAACAAACATTATACAATGGTGAGTGGGTCAGCAGTGTAGCAGTGCTCTTTTATTAAATGAGTTGCTTGAATAGGGTAATTCTTTAAAATACTAAAGTTTGGGATCAGTACGATGTGTAATGTTTTTTTAATTTAAAGAAGTCTCTTCTGCTGATGGCAGCTGCATTTATTTGATCAGAAATACAGAAATGAATTGCAATTTAAAATAAGTTTTCTATTTTAATATAATTTAAAATGTAATGTATTACTGTGATCAAAGCTGAAATTTCTTCAGTGATCCTCCAGAAATCATTCTAATGTGCTGATTTATTATCAGTGCTGGAAACTGTTGTGCTGCTTCATTTATTTATTTATTTATTTTAAATACTTTTTTTCAAAATTCTTTTGAGTAAAATGTTAAAAAAGATCAGCATTTATTCTGTTCTGAATGCAATAGAAATATTAATATTTTGTAACAATATACACTACCGTTCAAAAGTTTGGGCTCAGTAATTTTTTGAAGAAGAAATTAATGCTTTTATTCAGCAAGGATGTGTTAAATTTATAGAAAAGTGATAATAAAGACTTAAATTGTTGTTATATTGTTAAATGCAGACATAAACGTTAACAATCATCATATTTTTATGGTAAATTACCTGGATTTGCCAAAAAAATGCTTTTTTAAATCATTGATTTAGGTGGTTACAGGCCTGCTAAATAATACGTAATGTCTTTTTTTTTCATATGTGCTTAAATGCCTTAAAACACTTGAACCCCGATAATCGCTGCTTGCAGCTACATTTATAAATATTTTATATTTATATTTTAAATATTTTATTTTCTATAACATACAAAAAATAAAGCACATTGTATACTTTTAATTTTAAAACATAAATATTTATTAGTTTATTAAAAATATAGACCGTACATAGTATATATTTAGTAAAGTGTACATTTTATATAAGATGTTAATAAGAAGTTTCTTGACACTATAATTATTTTTAATGGTATTCAAGTTGTTAAACATACAGTGTAATGAGAAATACAGCAATGATAAATGAGTAGATTATTTTCTTATTATTTATTTTGTATTATTTTTAATATATTTTGTTTGTTGTTATTTTTATTTGTTTTATTTGATTGCTCAGCTAATTTTCTGTATCTGTTAACATAAGTAATATATATTTTATATACACACAAAAGCTTCATGACATTTTTGACTAATTGAATGTTTCATAATGTCTTATAATATTAATGTTATTAATTAAAATAATTACCCATACACAGTGATATAATAATAAATGCACACATTATATATATATATATATATATATATATATATATAATTTTCATGATAATTTTGACTATTTGAATGTTACGTAATGTAATATAATATTTATGCTATTTGTTGTTACTCTGATACGGTTATGTATTTATTTATCATGCTTTCGTAAAGTGTATATAGACTTTCCAGTGTCTGGATTGCAAAAGTGTAATTTCTTTGATCAGTTACAGCTTTCCTGTCAGACTATGGCTGGTATGTGATGTTCGTGTGTGTGGGAGTGTATCTGCTCATCCAGCATCTCCGCAAGAACAGATCCACAGACAGTCAGAGCTCGTCTGTCTCAGCGGCCAGCCAAGGTCAGGACAAACCATGACTGGTGTCTGCAAATTGAGAAGTATTTGCCATTTTAAGAGGTGTGTGTGTGTGTGTGTGTGTGTGTGTGTGTGCAAGTTGTTAAACATACAGTGTAATGAGAAATACAGCAATGATAAATGAGTAGATTATTTTCTTATTATTTATTTTGTATTATTTTTAATATATTTTGTTTGTTGTTATTTTTATTTGTTTTATTTGATTGCTCAGCTAATTTTCTGTATCTGTTAACATAAGTAATATATATTTTATATACACACAAAAGCTTCATGACATTTTTGACTAATTGAATGTTTCATAATGTCTTATAATATTAATGTTATTAATTAAAATAATTACCCATACACAGTGATATAATAATAAATGCACACATTATATATATATATATATATATATATATATATATAATTTTCATGATA